CACCACGGACCTGCACCCCCAACCGCTTCTCAGCACAGCCAGCCATGACCTGGGCAGCCTCCTGAGCCAGCTCTTTAGACCCCCCCCCCAAAGGCCCCCCGAGCGTGGCTCTCCGGGAGTGGGATGCCGGACCTGCCTCTCTCCCCAGCAACCTGGAGACGGACAGAAACCCCCCACAAAGCTTGGACTGCCATGGCATTCGCCACCCTTCTCTGGAGAGGGAGATGCCGTTCCCAAAGGGTCACCCCTCCCATCCCTTGCTGGCCTTTCTGACCCAGCGCAGCCAAGACAATGACACAGAGCCTGCACCAGGCAGTCCGGACGGCACATGCTCTGACTCTTGCATCTTGTTTCCTCCCACAGGACGGGACAGGAGCACCGGATCCAACCCAGAACCAAGAGAGGTGGGACCCTGTGGGGCTCCAAAGCAAGCCTTGGCTCCTGCAGTCCAGGGTGCTCTGGCCGCACGGCAAGCGCCGGCCCACGCTCCCCCTCCCCGGCTCCGGCAGCGATGCCGGGCTGGGGGCGGGGTCTTAAAGCGCCTGCACAGAGGCCGACGAGCCGGAAACCTCTTCGCCGGCTGTCCGTGGCCAGATTTCCCAGGATAATTATCTCAGCACCAAACCCTGTGTCACGACATGCTTGGCTATCCCTCGCTGAGCACGCTTGGCTCCGGGAGGCACAAGCTCCACGCGGACCCAGACGACGGCCTGGCAGCAGGGAGCCCAGGCGGGAGGCCCCTGCACGGCTCAGCGAGGGCTGGAGAGCACGGTGGGGGTGCCTCGAGGCCCCAGGCGGAGGCTCTGCCGGAAGCACCTCACCCTGGACGGCTCTCCGGGGCAGTGCTGATAGCGCTCGCGGGAGGCGGGCTTGGAAGCCCACCCCCGTTGTGCCTCCAGCTCTGCCCTCCACGCTGAGGACCCCCAGAGAGCCGAGCCACACCGTCGGCCCCTCCCCAGCACTGCCGCCAACACGCGAGGCAGAATAAACTGCCCCGCCGTAGGGGAAAAGCTTGGGCTCGGTGGCCAGGGCAGGCTCACCGAAGGGCATGCTGCTTCCTGGAGCGCTTATCTATTTACTTAAAACATTCGTATCGCTCCTACACGAGACAAACATCCCAGGACAGCTTACACAATTATAACAATTAATAACAACCGCAAATAACCACTGTAAAACAACAAAAACACAACATCAGCAAAAGTCGAAATCAAAATCAGAAACAAAAGCAAAAGCAAAAAGCAACTGCAGATGTTAAAACCAATTAAAATGTCTAATTCTTAAAATGACGGGAAAATAAAAAGCTCCTAGGAGATTTCCTCCCTCCCCAAAGGTGACGCCAACCTTAGCACCCGGGTCTTCAGCAGAGGGAGGGAAGTCTCGCCTCTGGCTGCTCCTAACAGGGTGTCCCATGGAAGCCACACTCACCCCTGCTCAGGAGACTGCGCCCAGCAGCCAGCAGCAGCAGCGGGGGCACGAGAAAGGCGGGCAGGGTCCTCGGAGCGGGGCCACAGAGGACCCCCAGGAAGAGGGCCTGCACTTCGCCGGGCGAGCGGGAGCTCTCTCTTGGGCTCGCGTCAGGGAAGGGGCTCCCTGGACTTGCTCCGCGCTGGACGCGGCCTGCGTGGCCCAGAGGCGGGCGCTCCGACCTGCCTGGGCCGACGGCAGCAGTGGGTTCTGGCGGTGGTCCTCCTCCAGGAGGGGAGGGTGGGCGGCCAGGGCGGGTCGTGGTGCTGGGAATGCTGCTAGCCAGACTGTCTCTGCTGAGCCAGGAGATGGTGGCAACTGGGCACTGGGTGTGGAACAGGCTCCCCGCTTCCCGGGCAGGGTCTGGGGGGCCAAGAGTCGCCGCTCCCCCCATGCAGTGAGCTCTCGCAGTGTGCCGAGAGGCACTCCCGGCACGGGCAGAGCTTATGCTGACCGCCGCACCTGTGGGACGCCTCAAGAAGTGCCCCCCCCCCCCGTATGTTCTGTGAAAGGACCTCCTCCAGCACCTGCCGCTTCTGTCTTGAGTTGGGCCTGCCCTTTCCACAGGTGGCTTCAGGCCAAGAAGTGGCATGGAGCCAAACGACCGAAGGGGCATCCCTCTGTACCCAGCAGAAATGGAAGCCACTGCCACCGCCCCTGCCGGCCACCAAGTCTGTCACAGCTTTCTGAAGACGCTGGTCTTTGGGAATCCAAAAATTCCCTTGGCTGCCCAGAGTTTAAAAAGCAGCAGTTTTGCCAGCAAGACAACAGATCTTGCATGCCTTCCATACTTAAGTCTCTGCTCCAACAGCTGATGCTGGAGAAGAAATTGAAAACTTTGATGCAGGTACTCAAGAGGGAGTGGATAACGCACCTGAGCAAGACATGCCGCTAGTCCTGGTGACTGGAATGCAACAGTAGGGGGCAAAGCAGAATCAACTCTTCTGTGAAGGTTTGGCCTGGGGTAAGAAATGAACTGGGAGGATGACTCACAGAATTTTGTTTATCCAACAACCTGTTCACTGCAAACACATACTTCGCGCAGCCACTCAGACCGCTGTGTACATGGACCTCACCAGAGACAAATGCAGAAGTCAAATAGATTATGTAACTGGACGCAGAAGGTGGAAAAGTCCTAATCTTGCGCCCAAAACCAGACAAGGGGCAGACCGTGGCAGTGGCCACCAGCTCCTAATTTCAGAACTTGGAGGCAAACTAGAAAAGATCTCCAGCAGAAACATTTCAGCAAGTCTCGCCAGCCCTTCAGATCTCAGCAACCGAAAGCCCCTTTGAACAGAACATTTGTCACAACATATGGAACATTCAGCCATCATGTCACAGAGCGGTTACCCAGCCTGAGTCGAGGGATAATAAGGAAAACGTGAGTGGACGAAACAGGTCTGCTTCTACCCGAGCGCAATCGCAGCAGCCGGTCCGCCTCGTTCGGTTGCCTGCCTGGGGTGTAAAAGCTAGGGAGGCATCAAGAATTCGGCAAGCCGCCGTGCCCGGGTGGCCGATCACGCCTGGCTTGGCGAGCGCATGGCGCACGCCTCACCATCATCTTCAGTGGCAGCTTCAAATGCAAAACCTGCACAGATCCGCGCTTCCTTTGCTACCTTTTCTTTTTTTGCTCGCTGCACAGACAAACATAAATAATGCCAGAAAAAAATGCCCATTCTCACTCTGCCCTTTTGGACAAAACGGCACGTCGTGCAGAGACAGCCTGGCAACAGGAGACGCGCCAGATGCTCGGCTGCGGAGCAGAGCCCTCCCTGCAGCCCCTTCGCCTGCCTGGGGCCGTTGCTGGGGCAGAGCACAGGCGCCGCGTCGTACGCCCAGGCCAGTTCCTGGCACCACGGGCGGCCGGACGCCCCTCGACCCACGCCCTGCAGAGCCAGGGCCGGCCAGCCTCCCAGGGGCAGCAAACAGATGAGCCTGCCTCCCCGCCCGGCCACCCGCCCAGCGATGCGGGGCGGGGGTTGCCGGGGTGGGGCCTGGGCACCCGGAGGATGCTGCCAACCTGCAGCTGCGTCTGTAACGCAGGGCGGGACGGGCTGTCGCGCCGGCTCAGGGTGCAAGGCTGGCTCTCTTCTCACGCTCCCTGCCCTGCGGCGCTCGGCACATGGAGGGCCCCCGTGGGGAATGCGCTCCCTGCCCTGTGCCGACAGAGCCCTCTTGCGCTCCCGCAATCGAGGACGGGCCCTTGTGGCCCCCAGGTGCTGTGGGGCTGCTGGCCCAGGCCCGAGGCGGCACAGCCAGAGTGAGGGGTGCCGGCTGCCAGGGGGCCCTGCAGCTGGGGCAGGGAAGGGTCCCACCCAGATCGGGCAGGGGGAGCGGTCCCTGTCCCACTTGTCTCGACGGAGGGCCATGCGGGAGGATCCACGTTTCCGTGGTTGTCTGCAGGGCAGAGGAAGGGCCGGAGTGGGCGAAGGGCTGCACAGCGTGATGCACCTGGGGCCCAGAACCCCCCGCTTTCCAGGCGACCTGCTGCATGGAAGAGGTGCTCCAGGCCAGCCACCGGCAGCTGCCCCCCCTCAGTGCCCCAGTGCCCCCACAATGCCACGCATGGGCGCGAGGCCCTCTGCCCACAGGCAGGCATCCCAGCTTCTGGGGCGCCTTGTCTTTCCACCCCACGTGCCACCCCGTCCTTGCTGCCACCTGTGATTTGGGAACGGCTGGAGGGCCCCCTGCCGCCTGCAGGGCGGTGCCTCCCAGGGGCAGCGGGCCTTTTGCTGGAAAGGGGAGCCCCGCTCTCGCACCCTGTCCCGGGGACCCAGTGCCTCGCAGGCGTCACAAGCGCCCGTGGCACAGCCCTCCAGCCTGCGCAGCCATTTCGCCCCCTCCTCCAACCTGTTTGAGACACCAAAAACAGACCCGATCCCACCACACCCTCCCACGATATTAGGAAGAGAAACCAGCCATCATTTGCCCCATAGTTATCGTGAAGGAGCATGTCGGGAGCAGAGCCAGCTGTGCGGGGAGGTCAGACTAGATGGCCCAGGAGACCCCTTCTGCCTCGCTCTGTTCCTCTGTTTCGATGTTTCTAGAGGGTAAAGCAGTGGGGACCAGTCCCCAGGGGAGGGCTGCGCATGGCCCCTTGGCGTCCCGAGACCTCCCCAAGCCAAGACGCCCTCAGACCGCTTCCATCAAGCAAGCAACCCGCCACTGAACACACACCTGGCCCATTCACGCTGCGTTCCCGTTGCACCACCTTCCAGGTCACTGAACGTACTGGCAGGTATCCTTCTGCCACAGCCTGGTCTAGGTAACCATCAGTGGCAGGTGACCTGAACTGTTCACACGATTTGACGAGGCAGAGAAAGGGCTGACCGAGCCACCAACCTCGTCACTGGCTAGGAATGCACAGGAAAGCCACAGGAAGGGAACGGGGGCAACTGCAATTACACCAGGAAGCAACCGCACACCACAAGGGGGAGACAGAGGGCAGGGGAAGGGAGGAGCTCCACAGGCACGGCCACCCTTCCCGGGGAAGCCCACGAGCGGTCGGCCCGGAAGCTCTCTCGTGCATACGTTACCTCGGAGGGCGCTGGGAGCCTGCTATTGGTGCCTATGATCTGGTTATAGAGGGCAGCATCGCGCCTTGGGATGGTGCTTTGGCGGCTGCCCACAGGACTGGGAGCGAAGGGCATTTTGTACAGAAGGTCGCTCTGGCGAGAGTCAGTGGTGAGGACTTGCTGGTAGAAGCTGGGAGGGGCAAATCCACTGCGCACAGTGTCTATGTGGTTGAAAGGCCCGGGGGTTCTATAGAGGGAGCTCCGGGAGGCCTTGAAAATATCCCTGGATTGCCTCCACTTGCAGAATTTATAGACCCCGACCCCAACCACTGTGACAAAGAAGGCCACGGAGATCAAGATGACCGCGAGGATTAAATAGAAAGTCAAGTGCTTCTTGGTCTGGGGGACGGAGGACACGGCTGTCAGGTCCGCCAGTGCCTCCCTGGATGTCTCTGCCACCGTGACCGTGAGGGTCACGGTGGAGGACAAAGCAGGGTCCCCGCTGTCCTTCACGAGGATGACCAAAGTCTGCCTGCGGGAGTCTTCCTCCCGCAGAGCCCGGGCTGTGCTGATCTCCCCGGAATGCAGGCCCAGGGCGAAGAGTCCGGGGTCAGTGGCCTGCAGGAGCGTGTAGGAGAGCCAGGCGTTGTATCCTGCGTCCGCATCCCAGGCCACGACCTTGGTGACCATGTACCCGGGGCTGACTGCGGGCGAGATCGCCTCCAAGAGCAAGGCGCTGCCGTTCGGGCTGGGGTGCAGCACTCGGGGGGGATTGTCATTCTGGTCTGTGACGAAAACATGGATGGTGGTGTTGGTGGCCAGGGGGGGCACGCCTCCGTCCCGGACCTGCACCACCAGCTGGAACTCCATTGCGTCCTCATGGTCCAAGGGCACCAGGACATAAATGGAGCCGTTCTCCCGGTTAATGGAAAAGTACCTGCCCGCCAAATCTCCCAAAGGGCCGGGGTTCTCGAGGATGGAGTAGGAAAGGTGCGAATTCTGGTCCAGATCCGCATCAGAGGCACTGATGTTAAAAATCAGGGTCCCCGGAAGGTTGTTTTCTTCCATGTACACGTCATAAGAGGGCTGTGGGTATTTAGGCGGGTTGTCGTTTACGTCGGACACCTTCACGAGAATGCGCTTTTCCGCCCCGAGAGAGGGCGAGCCGGCGTCTCGCGCGGTGACGGTGATGTTGTACTCGGAGGCGCGCTCCCGGTCCAGCGCTTCCTTCGTCTGCACCGTGTAGTAGTTCTGCAGGGAGGAGCTGAGGGCAAAAGGGAGGTCCGCAGGGATGGAGCAGCTGACCAGGCCGTTGTCCGCGGAGTCGCGATCCGTGACGCTCAGCAGGGCGACCACGGTCCCTGGCGCGGCGTCCTCGGGCACCGGGCTGTACACCGAGGTCACGGATATTTCCGGGCGGTTGTCGTTCACGTCGACGACCTCCAGCAGCACCTTGCAGTGGGCCACGGCCGGGTTGGAGCCCTTGTCCTTGGCCTGGATGTAGACCTCGTAGAACCGGGCCTCCTCGAAGTCCAGCGCTCCCTGGAGGCTCAGCTCGCCCGTGGCAGGGTCCAGGGCGAAGAGCTGCCGCAGCTGCGCGGGCGTGTGGCTGCTGAAGGCGTACTCGACCTCCCCGTTGGCGCCCTCGTCCAGGTCGGAGGCGCTGGGGCGCGCGAGCGGCGTGCGCGGGGGCACGTCCTCCCGCACGCGGGCGCGGTAGACGGACTGGTTGAAGACGGGGCTGTTGTCGTTGGCGTCCAGGACGTCCACCAGGACCTGCAGCGTGGCCGAGCGCGGCGGGCTGCCGCCGTCCAGCGCGGTGAGCGCCAGGCGGAGCTCCCGCTGCCGCTCGCGGTCCAGCGCCTTCTGCAGCACCAGCTCGGCGTACTTGGTGCCGTCGCCGCGCGCCTGCACGTCCAGCGCGAAGTGCGCGTTGGCGCTGAGCTGGTACGTCTGCAGGGCGTGGGCGCCCGCGTCGGGGTCCTGCGCGCTCTCCAGCGGGAAGCGCGCGCCGGGCGCCACGGACTCGCTGACCTCCAGGCGCATCTGCCTGCTGGGGAACGCGGGGTCGTGGTCGTTCACGTCCAGGATCTCCACCGCGACGCCGAACAGCTCCAGCGGGCTCTCGGCCACGACCTGCAGGCTCAGCACGCAGGGCGCCAGCGCGCCGCACAGCTCCTCGCGGTCGATGCGCTCGGCCACGCGCAGCTCGCCGGTGCCCAGGTCGGCCTCGAAGAACTTGCGGCCGCCCCCCGACACCACGCGCAGGTTGCGCGCCTGCAGCTGCCGGAGCGGCAGGCCCAAGTCGAGCGCCACGTTCCCCACGGCCGCGCCGACGGGCCGCTCCTCGGGCATCGCGTAGCGCACGGAGGCGGCGGCCGCGGCAGAGCCGCCGGGGCCCGGCCACAGGCACAGGCACAGGCACAGCGCGAGCACGAGCCCCGGCCGCCGGCTCCCCGCCGCGGCCCGGCTCATCGCGCGAGGGGGCGCGGCCGCTCCTGCGGAAGAACGCGCCCGGCTGCCGCTAGAAGTTCTCGGCCGGGCCGCTCATGCCGCCGCCGCCGCCGCCGCCTGCGCGCCCGGGGCTCGGCTGTGCGGAGGGCCGCCGCGCCGTGTGCGCTTCGCCGCCGCGCGTCCCGGGACTCCTGCCGCGCGCTCGCCTCGCGCCCTCTGCC